AATAGATCCTTGGAGAATGGTACGTTGTATTTTCGATCCTTGCAGCGTTGCTTTCGACGACGATGGGTGCAAAAGTGGGAGGGAACGGGGAACGACGCGGAGCGATAGGGAGGGAGCACGGTGACGGCGGCGGGTCTCTGCAAATCGGCTTGTTATTCGGTTTCACCACAACACTGCCCTCCCCTACCCCTCACCCCGCACTCAAAACAACAAAAAACGGGGACGGGGATCTGAAAAACGCCGAAGAAAATCGCGACGAAATGCACAGCCGCTGGCGGAGACCTTCAGGCGGTAGCAGCAGGGTTGAAGTGAACTACTTATTCATCACTTGTGTAAAAAATTGCGTAAACTTAAAAAATAAGGTAGAAAAAGTTGGAGAAGGTAGAGTTTCAGACAAGTACTGAACTGTGTACTACAGGTGGTTAGGACTTTGTCGAACCTCCAGCCTCATCATACCGCTTGTTCAGATTCGGACGAGTTTCGGAAACGATCGGGATCATCACGAAGCGACGGCAAACGATGGGGACGCAAAGATACGGGAGGCGGCGAGCTGAGATGCTGTATACAACCGGATTTACTGCGCAGTAACGTTGACAAACATTGGTTTTTCGAAGATGAACAGGTGAGCATAAAAAACTCGTCTGCCTACTGCTTTTATTAGAGTTGTCCTCAAAGCCATAGCGCTTGAATACATCACCATAGTAATGAGTGTTCTTCGATGACTATTATAGGTTTTTTTCCCCATTTTTTCTATGCCCTTGTATGCCATCATAGGCTGAAGCAATTTTGATGAGAAAGAATAGGATAAGCTAGGGGCTTTCTCTTGTGCCCTGACGCGTCTAAATAGCGCGATATTTTCGTAGCTAGCCATTGCTATGCAGTTTTGCTTCACGCGGTAGTCAGCAGAGCTTACCATTAGGCTACCGAAATGTTACCCATTGGCCACGCGTGACACACCAGTGGGCCACACTTTCACGCAGAGGAGATCCGTTTCGCTTGAACTGTTTGATTTTTTCGCGCTTCAAAGCAATCCATTACATCATCGGGTCGAAAGAGCAACGCATTGATCACCAGCGATGAAGTTGTTCGAAGGTTCCATAACTGTAGATGAGAAACTATGGAAAAGTATGCCACAGTGTAACCATTAACGGGGGTGGACAATGCCTTAGTGGTTTGACGCAGTCGGAGACCGACCGTTGGGCCCTTATAAAGTTTAGTACTTGCGCATTCTCTTATTTATGTGCTAATCCTATACTTGACCCGTCTTTTTTCTGATAGCTATCAATGGCCTAACGTTTTGGTAGTTGGCGCTCATTTCCTTAGGGGGACAGCGAAACAGGGCTGATGGTAGGTGACACTAGGCCTAAACCCAGTAGAGAGAGGAACCGCCAAGGGAAACATAAATGCTCAAATCCTCTCCCAGAATCTCTTTCCCTCTCCAAGGCTTATTCCCAATCACACTAAGGGGCTCACTCCCATGAGTATCTCTCCTTCCTCCCCCCCCCCCCCCTCCAACGACAAGAGCGCCTCGTAGTGATAAATAAATAAATCTCCCCAGAGATCATCAGGAAATTCCCACACATTATGTTCTTTTTTGTTCAAAAATAGTTTTCAATATCGAGGGTTGATTTTCAAGCAGCTGAAAAAACTCTTCTCCATTGCAGACTTGATCAAGGCTATTCTAAAATTCAATTCCCTAGTTTCACAAGAATGGTTGGTTATGGGCAAATTTCCGCCCAGGCCGGAATGGAAGGTACACCTCAAAGCGAGAGTGGCGGGTTCAATTCGTGCCTGGGGCGAAAAGTTGTACCCATATCCCAACATTTTTGTCAAACTTTCCCAAGGAGAACAGTGTCCAAAATCAGCTGTCAAGCCTTTAGCCTTCAATCAATATCCATCGAATAGTTCTGTATTGATTCTGCTCTGTCATAGGTTCGTGTAAACGGTTCGGTGTTTGCTCGTCGTGAAAACTTCGACAATCTGCTCTCGATCATTCCGTTGTCGAAATTCAATGGCATTCATATCAAGGTAAGAATAGCACAGCAGCAGCGTGTGTTTTCAGTAGAACTTCCTCGTTCATTGATTTCTTTTGCTGGGTGCTCTCACGCTCGTGTGAGCGTCGCGCTTTCCCCTACCCCTCTCGTCGCGCCGTTCCTCCATCCGCTCAGGGTTTGCACTTTTTGTTTATTATTCAGGCCTTCTTCTAAGGACATATCAGTCATGCGCGCTGCCGGCGAGACCTTGCGCGTGTGGGTGCTTCTTGATGTGTTCGTCGCCATCGCGATGCGACGATTTTGTTTTGCATTATCCGCAACCCCCTCGCCGAACGCCAGAACGCCCGAACGCCCTCTCCGGGTCTAATGAGGTTACTGTGTCGCCTCCATCGAAAACGACGATGAGAACTCGATCGCGTAGCATTTTCGAATTTAATTGCATGCAAACAACACACACACTGTTGAAGGGTCGGAGGGATTTGGCGACATATTCCAAGGGTGTCTGGAGGGCGCTCAGTCACCCCTCCCCTTGTGGGTAATGTCTAAAAGGAGTCTAGCCACGAATAATCCAATTAGCCCTGTACCGGAACCTCAAGCAGAGCTCCATTAACTTCCAGAAAACACCAGTTAATCCAAAATCGTCTGGAGATTATTCACGCAAACAGAAGGAAGTCATTTGTTTTGCTGAATACAGAAGAGATTATTGGATTACTGCCATATGGATTAGCCCTCAGGCTGTAACATTATGAAAAAGAAACCATACCATGGTATAAGTTGAACAGGAAGTACAAAGACGATATTTCCCCTTATGCACACTTGTGCTTTAGCACACATCGATGTTTAAATGTTAGTCCTGGATTTTTGATATTGTGAGAGCATTTGTTTTGACGTCGTATTTTTATCATTGGAGTGCATCAGACGTGACGCAACAGATCAAAGAAAGAACGCGCAGATTCGATTTTCAGTGGAATTCTCTATACTACTGTACGAGGAAATGGCAGCCATGACGTTTGCATGGGTGAAGGTTATGCTTAGATTGACAAGAAGATTTTGGGATTAGCGTGAATCTCGGAGAGCCTTGCTTGAAAAGTGGTTATATAATCGAAGTATGTCAAGGGTACCGGGCAGAAAGGAGGATTGTGAGAATTGGCTGATAGACGGGCAACTTTCACCTGATGTAGTACACGCTAAATATCTGCAATAAAAGACATGATTAGTCTGGTCCTTTATGGTACGTTTTTCTCTCAAGGCACCGCCTGCGCCTCTTAATCTGTCTCCAAAACGCCATCACTTGCACCTCTCCGCACGATTTGCACGTATTGAACACTTACAGCGCTCAGCAAGTTGTGATCCCATCCTAATTCTTCAGGCATAGGCTCTGTACATCTTTTTCTGAGGAGATCTATTCCACCCACAGATCACGGATATTGCAGTAAAAAAGGCGCGTAAAGTTTACACTGAAGAGTGGCCATGGCAGATTCGCAGATTGGCTGTGGCTGTTATATTCGAAACGAATGTGAGATCTCAGTATGTTAAGCTCTGAAACTTAGTGAACTGGATAAACTGCCTATAGAGACTTTAGGTAGGCGCCATCCGCTAAGGTTTCGTATGCAGACCGTTTACGGAAATCGCGATGCTGAGTCATCATTATTGTGAAACGAAAGTGGGTATTACTAGAAGCGTGGCAATTGAATTAGTCACAGAATTTAGAAACAGTCAACTTGGCACCCGTTAAGATTTCCAAACTTCAGCCCCCACAAGTCGTAAGGGTGACTATACAGACGGAGACTTACGAATGAATAGCGGTTAGGCCTACACGGAAGATAGAAGGAATTGGTGAGCGAGATCGCTGGGCAGGGCTGAAGAAAACGATGAGTGACATCGGCAGAAAAATTCCTAGGATGGGTCACTTCTTCTACTCCCGTCATTGAGAATCCTCATTGTGCGCCCCTCAACGACTACGTGTTCTGTATGTTTAGAATGGCTGTAACTCAGACGGCTTACCCATCCACCGCGGGTGTGCCATAAGTGGTCAGCGGCTCGGTGTTCAGACCTAGCACGCCACTGTGGAATATACTTTCTGCTGCGAGACAACGCTTCGTGCGGTGCTTCTCAAGGGCGAGGTGAAAGCTCCTGCTGTTCATCATAGACCGGAGATTTCCTCTTCTTCTCAAACGCTACCTCTGTTAGAATCCTCCTTCAAAATTTGAGAAACAGATCCAGTATTGATGAATCTTCGTTTCTCTAAGTGTCAGGAATTCAAGTTCCTTGAAAATTTGATGAAGTCGAACGTCGCAGCCAATTCCTGAAGGGTTTGCTTCTGGCTCCTCGCGGCAGTTTGCTGCGGTCCAGAAATTCCAGTTTTTTTGAAGATTGTGGGGTGCGTCAACTATTGTCGCTTCCCTGTCACACACTATTCCCCGTACCCCATGACCTTCCGCTGGAAACACTGGTTATTTTATGCGCTATGTCGTATCTATAGTCTTTTCTTGGTGTTCATCTTTTCTTTTGTTTCTTTCTTTTCTTTTCATGCAAAAATTTCTCCTCCTCAAAGTGAGGCCGAAACCTATACGATTGAGTCCATTTCGGCTAAGACACCCTCTTGCTTGATCCCTTGTCCCATATGCAAAATTGGGAGTACAGCTCCTGAACTTTTCTTTCGACTGGCATGAAGTAGATGTTGATTCTTTTCCGTGTTGTCTGAAACGCGCATGGTTATAGTACATTGAAGCGATCTCCGCCGGTCGTGTACACGTCCGATCGGCATGAGGGTCGAAACATCGGGGTTCATTCATTTACGAAGGTGGACCAATATATAGACAATTTCTGTTAATGGTTGATGAGCCATCCTTGAATTTCCTAATGAAGACGGACTGTCCAACGGTGGTTGACGCCCCTGTCGCGCTTCTTTGTAGTCTCTTGAAGACGTTGGGCGCACACAATCAACGTGTGGTCCCATGTGTGGGATGCCATCGTGATATGATTGTGAGTGCAGTTTTTACGGTCAGAACAATTATTATTTAAAATTTTTAGTCGTTCTTAGTTCATCTTTTCTTTTTGTTTGCCTTTCTTTTTTCCTTTTCATGCAAATTTTCATGTGAAAATACCTCGACCTTTTTAATTCTTTTTAATCAGCACTGATTTACAAACGATAGTGGGAAGCGTGAAGTTGAGTGTGCGATTGTTGAAAGTATTTAACCTCCCCTTCAAAAAGCGAGAAAGTGTCGGGTGCAGACCAAACACCACAACTGACGACGGCCTCCAAGTAAATCTGGTTAGAAGTTGTTCATAGTGATAGCTGATTTCTGGTAATGATAGTTGTAATTAGTGACAATCGATAGAATACAACTGCAACAGGCTAATCATTTCATTGGCAGAAAACATTAACATTTTGTGAAGGCCGTCGTCACTTGTGGTGCATGGTCTGCACCCGACACTTTCTCTTTTTGAAAGGGAGGGTACCTATGAAAAATATCATCCTCTGTTTTGGTATAGCTCTTGAATCGCCTAAATATTTGATTCTTTCGAAGTTTTTTTTGTGTTTCTCGTACATTCGTCTATGATCTTCCTGTGAATTTTGATGATAATTCAATTACAATTTTTGTAGTTATTCGTCAAGTGTTTTGCCCACTAGCGACGCAACGTTGGGACAACTTTTGCATGACTGGGGTCCGCAACAGCGTTAGCAATGAAAAACAAGGCAAAATAACAGTAACATTTGGTCAAATCTTCCTTCCTTGTTCCCTATTATGCGTTCTCAATTGATTGTTTTGCAATTAAGTGAAGATGCTTTGCAGGTCTACGATCGATACCCGCTTGTTGACGGTGTTTTCTTTTTGTCACCCGTTTGTCATTTTGGACCGCCAACGGAGGTTTGTTTTCACCTACCACTTTTTATTGATCAATTACGGGTTTCTTTTATGAACTGTGGCTTGGCAAGCTCATGAAAGCTGTCTCTCTAAGAGGACTGGAAGTATTTTGCAAATTAATTGGTTATTTATGTGCAAACACACGTTTTGCGTATTATTTCACTCGAGTGTTAGTTGTGAAAATCCGCCGGTTAAGAAAGAAGCAATTTACTTTTCTTCACTTTAAAAAGATAGTTAGGTACGTAATCGAGTGGGCTGTTCCGATTGCGTGGCTTAGAGTGTTCGACAAAAGCGCTTATGAGGTCTTATGACGTAGATTTGAGGAAGCCTATTAGGCGACGATTCTATAAATAATATGATCCGCGACTGTAAAGGACATTTGTATTTAAAGCACTTTTAATGGTCGCTTCTGCCGGCTTCGCTTGCAGTCCTCAGCAGCTGTTATGTTCCAACCCTTCAATCCAGATATTAATGTCGTGTAATGTGCCTTTAAACTCGAAAGGCCCTACAGGAAACTGGACTACTTGATCGAAACTTGGCGAACAAAGGGGGGCTCAATGTGGCTCGGGGGGGGGGTAGTCGCCGCCGTGGCGCATGGTATGATCGCGCCCTCATAGCGAAATAGTGTAAGACTTGAACGTTCCAGCTTTTCACGCATGTCAAGTGACACGCCCCACCTTCCCCCCCCCCCCTAGGCTGGCACTCCCCTGGCTCACGGATTTAACGCTCCGCACTGAAGTACGCGAACATGCCACGCGCCACGGCGGCGACTGCCTCCCTCCGAGCTACGTTGTGCTCAAGGGTGCATCATATGTTATCCAAGCTGTTTCGAGATCTCTTATGGTTAGTGATTTCGGGAATAATGTGCATGGCGAATGTGTATTCGAGAAACAGTAATAATATTATTATAGTGTTTCTAAAATTTGAAAAACATTTCTTGGACACATATTGAACGAGCTAATCGCTTGGTCGGCTCCTAACCACTAGTTAGGGTCTGTGAGGTAGCCACTATTCCAAGCGAAAGCCGGCTCCACGTTAAATACTCGATAATTTGTATTGCTCTCTGCAGTGATTGGCCTTAAAGGCACAACCCAGGCAGAGGTCGTGTGAACGCTTCTCTTCGGTCTGTAGTATAGACCCCTAGAGGACAATCACAAATGTGGCGTTCCCGTGCACGGAAACCAACCGACAAGAGCGCTTGGGCCTTGCAAAGTAAGCTGCCCAAGCTGCAGATTTTTTTTATCAGGCTGTTGTCTGGCGCTCTCTCATCTGTAGCGCTCTCTCGCCTCTCTCCTCTCCGCGCTTAGTCTCTCATTCCCTTAGCACAGCCGATCAGGAAGGTGAGTGAGCCCTTAACCTAAGCGTTTTTGACGGATTCTTTTCCTTTTTTCTTTACTGCCGGCCCACTTCCCACCAGTACAATCACATTCGTGCACATGGGCCACACCATGTTATCCTGGGGTAAGCCTTAAGTAAATAAAAAGAATAGGATCCATTACTTTCGTTAAATTAGTGGTTGTTGTTCAGTCATAAGTAATTATTGAGCTGGAAGTGTAATATCAACGGGTTATCCGATGTGAAACTCACCCGAAATGACAAGTCTTGTCGTTTGGGGAGGTGATTACGATGGAACAAGAACTATTTGCAACGTTTTGTGTGCAAGCTGTTTGTTGGCCGATGGCGCGTAACAAATTGGGACGAGGTACGGTACGTCTTCATGAACGATGACGTTTCAAAGTCACTTAACTCTTCTGAGCGAACTGCTTTTTATGCTCGACCTCCATCCATCAAACAATTAATTTTGATGAATTATTCAGCGTTATTCACTAGTTTGGGGAACGACCGTTGTTGTTGTGGTCAGAACACAATATTGAGAAACCTTTATGCGTAGTTCCCAGGAATTGTAGTGTTTGTATCAACAGTATCAAGCGTTACAGAACCTTTTTGTCTGATCGTGAGACGTAAGTCGTGAAAGTGGTAAAACAATTAAGGGAAAGATACACGAACGAAACCCAAGAGCAAGGGGTAAAAAGGGGAAAGAGAAAGGAGGACAAAGAGAGGGACTTGAAAAAAGGAGACAGATCCGCGGAATGGGGAAAAAGTGTGGGAGAGAATTGAGTTGAGAAGAAAAAAAAACGGAAGGGAAAACATACTTGAGAAAATGTAGTACAAAAGGGATTGGAATAGGTTCATTGACGTAACACGAAAAGATGGAAGGAAAGAAGTGAACGACATGAACTTAATTTAGCAGCGGTGGTTTATGTGTATTCATTTCCACCCCCAAATGTGTTATGTGTCTCGACTTGAATGTCGGTTAGCCGTCAACTGTCGCACATACTCCCTGTACAGTTGACGGCTCCGGGCGGAGGCTAAGCTGGTTCGATTGAAACCTGAAGCACAGTGGGTGGTCGACGGTACTTGTCGGAATCTTGTGCAAATTTGAAATTGAATTTTCAATCTAAGGAACTATAGTGAGGCGAAAACGTAGTAGTTTGTCGTGTCGGTGATATTTTATAATGGATGCAATTAGGGAGAGGCCTTCTTTATATTTATATTTATTATATTATTATTTCTTATCATTCTTAAAGACTAGTGCGTGTTGATTTTGTCTTTGACTTCGGTCATTACATTTTGAGACATTGTTTGCGACGTTTGGTTTTGAGAATTATGAACAGAGTGCAGTAAGTGTACTGTCGATTATGTTTTTTTGATTTGTTTAAGATTGCTGTTTGTGGACCGTGTGGGTTTGCGCTTGCGAGTGTTCACACGGTGAGAATGTGGTTGTTTTGAGCGTAAACTTTCGCGCGCCCTGTTTTCACAAGCTCGACTTGCATTTCTCTGTCGTCCTCCGGCAGGCGCAATCGATTTACGCGCCGCGCTCTGGCGTTGTTCAATAAGCTGAGTAGTAATGAAATAGTCTCTTCCACGTTAAGCCTCTGCCTTCCAATGCTGCCCAGAAATTTATCACCCTGTAATCAAAATGTCTTGAATAGATGTCACTAGATAGCCAACGTCAATTTCTGCAGTTGCACAATTTTGTCATTAATCTGAAAGGCGAGGGTAACCCCCTCACCGCTCACACGCACTTGCCCGAGTAGCGTTTTAGAGGTGCCGGTTTTCGAGTCGCGTGTGGGACCAAAGCTCTTGTCTTGACAACACCGGCTGCACTCTCCAAAATGTTTTGAATGTCACTGGTGTCGTTACGTATATCTTGTACGGGATCACAACCTTGACATGTAAGCAAAGTTTGTATTGTATCTCCCATTCGTTCACCGCTTCCCTAGTATTCTTCCTATTTAGTACGTCTCTAATGTTATGAAAATGTCATCCCTGGTTAGTCCTAGGTTATTTAGATTAAAGGCAAGATTCAAGCTTAAACTGATGAGGTAATTCTACTCAAATGTGATGTAGGGGCGGGAGGGTGACCGCCAGTGGAGAAAAAAGGAAGGAAAATCCTGAAATACACAGGAAATACGAGCCTTTTGCTCTACGTTGCGGAGAAGTTCAAAAGGCCGGCAGGGAGATGAGAGATAATGTGAGCGCGGAGAGCGGTAGAGAAATCCGAGAAGAGAGAGCATAGCAGATCAGCATTGCGACGCAGACAAGATATCGAGCGGTGGGCGGAGCGTGTCGCAACAGGTGGAGCGTGTCAAAGTCCTTGGCCCCTAGCGCCTTAGTGACCTGATATTTCCGTATTGTGCTGACAGTGGCGAGTCGCTGCACTATGCTGCGTCCCAGCCTTTCTAGGCCACTTAAGGTTCTTATGGCTGGGCTGAACTGTTGCCTTTCACATCTGTGAAAAATGCTGAATTGACTGCTCAGAATATTTCGGTTCTGGACTGATTTCACTTCTCTCATTCCATTATGGTCTTCAGGTGGTTGGTTTACCGGCAAACGATTGTATTGAAACGCTCTACCTATTTATATAATCGGTAAGCCTTTGCGTGTTGCAATTTGTGCTTGATTGTTGCCCCAAGTTGTTGTCGACATAAGTTGCTTTTCTTTGAAGCGTCCTGAATAATCCTGGAAAAGTGTAATTCTTCCCTGGCAAAGTGTACTCACTATGTGATTACTGTAGTAGCTCAGCAAGAAAAATTGAGCTTTTCAACGATTTTTTTTGCTCGGCACTGAAACTACACTTTCATTCATTGAGGAACTCTCATGGAAGCGACCTTGCATTTAACGGTAGTTGGCAACCACATACTGTTGAAACCTAAAGGCTAAAGTTGCCAGAAAGCGTTTTGGTGGTTCTGTTGGTGGTTTTTGAAAAGCATAAATGGCAGCAAAAACTGGCACAGAATTGAATACTTTTTCTTGTTCTGTCAATAGAGTGAAGCTGCGCTGCCATAGAGCCTCCTTCCATGCGGAGCTGTTTCACACGAGGACGGGGCTGCCTTACACGGAGGGCGGAGCTGCCTTCGCTTTCCATGTCCGGAAGAAATGTAGGATACGTAGGGCTAATCAAGGCTCTGTGGAAGTTTTAGCAGTATCACCTTTTTTCCAACATCCTTATTCGTTTACCAGACGAATAAGGATGCTGGGTTAGATTTAGGTCAGCTAGCAGAAATCAGTGAAGCTGTAAGATTGCGGGTGCACATTTCTTGGTATTTCATCGAGGTTTTGAGTTTCATATTGGTTAACGCATCGGATGGGACCTCTGCGATACAACCCCTACCTAGCTAGGATTTTGCTACATATCTTGACTAGAATGCTAAGCTGTTCCATGGTAAGGTATGCCAGAAAGACACCCAAATCAAAAACCTTGCTAGCCTTGCTAGATGTTTCTTAATGTCTCTGGACTAACCTCCTCTGCTACTGCGACTCATCCACAGGGGCTTGATCATTACAAGATTTCTTAAAATTTACAACTTTAGTTGATATTTTCAAGTACCACTAAAAATTTGCCTTCTTATTTCGTTTACAGGTATGTACTACCTCTTCTACTCTAATTGCTTTCAGTTTCGGCCGGTAAATGCTGTCCGCCGACATGCACGGTGTGCCGTAGTCCGCTGTTGGTGCCGGAGAACATTATGATGCAGATTGTGAATGTGAGATAATGGTATAGTTTGAACGCTATTCCGGTTGAAAACCTTGAGAATTAGCTTAAGAAACATTTTGGGAGGATGACTTTCTTTTTCTGAGTGTTGACGAGAAACTACCTGAAAAACTATCAGCGAATAAGTCGTTTTTGCCGTTAGACCTTGTCAACGTAGGACAGTGTATTAAGATTTGGATTATTGTATCCAATGCTGTCGGGGGATATTGACAACTACATACTTTGAGCTGGTGGCTCTTAGTGGTTGAAACTAACTACGATGCGACAAAGACTGAAGGTAGATTCTGAAGACCTGACAGATGGCCTAATAAACCTAGCCGGGAGAAGAGATCACAGGACCAAATACCTCAACTATATATATTCCATTATGCATGCCCCAACTTGTCGTCTCACTTTTCAGACCTGCTGTAGAGTGGTTACGTGCGGGTCGGTTGAGAAGTCGTTGGCGTGACTATCACAAAAAGACGTAACCGCTGATGGGTGATTTGAGAACTCCGCGTTCATTACGTGATTGTGTGGGTTTCGAAATAGCGCAGTGTTTCCGCGCATCCCGCACAAAGAGTAGACAAGGCTCATAAATTACTACCAGAGAAGAACCAATTCTCGCAAGATGAATTGCGTAGGTGAAGTCAACATGTATTGGCAGTGTGGAGTGTCGTATGGGAATCTTAGGTCGATAGATCTAGCTAAGAGTTTTTTTTCTGCATTCGAGTAAGGCTCTTTGTGGATGAGAGAAGAATCTTTCGAGCTACGCTTGCAGTTGTGAGTAATAACCTACTTTCAAGCCCTTGACGGTGGCACTTGGCCACCCACCACCAAATTCAAACGCTTGCATTTCCGCTGAAACAGCATGGTTTTTCTAATCCTGCTAGAGTTGCTTCAGTCAACCTTCCCCTTCCTAATTATGAGCCAACCTGCCATTTCATTGTTTGTTGCTGTTAGTATTACAAGTATTTGTGTACAAGTGCAACAATGAATGGGCGCTGACCCCCGCAACCGGCCAAGTAAGTGTGACTTTTTCTTAAAATACTTGAAGTAGATCCATTCCTAAATCAAAATTATGGGTTATAATGTTATGCAAGATTATAAACTTTTTCGGCATAACTATGAAATTTCGAATTGTTTCGACATAAGCTTAAAAACTAAGAAGGTGGGCCAATTTTCAAAGCTTCTTAGTTTCTTTGTTTGTGATCGAATAGCTTCCAAATTTCGCCATAATGATACCTATATGCTCACAAGTAATAAACAATAGCTAGAAGAAAAATTTCTCCACGGGGAAAAATTCAGGTCCGAAAGGGTTAAAGGAATCTTCACGCGGAAAAAGCTCCGCCTCCATTACCACAGAAAAACGATACCCCTTAGGCCCCTAGCCTCATGAGCATAGCAAAAAGAACGGAACATAAGCGTTAGTTTCGATAATACTAATCCTACACACAAGACAAAATGATCACTCTTTCCGTGGAAGATTCCTTTAAGAAATGGTCTTTTCTTCCCTGAGTTCTCACTCACACCTCCCCTCATTTCACTCAGGGTATCCTTTCTCGGCGGTGCCGTTTTCCATTTCATTATCAAACGTATGATTTTTGAGGAAATACCGTAATTTCACATAAAAATCAAAACTTATTCACCTATTGTTTAACATATTTCTGGCTATATCAGGTTTCATCATGGCCGGTTACTTTACCCGAATGCGATTGCGGTAACTCCATCTTCCACTTGCATTTTGCTTTACCTAGAATCATTTGAAAGACTTAGGTTCAAGCCCTTTGAGAAATACTAGAAAATAGTTTCAGTATTCAAGGGGTATTTATTAGTCTTTGATTAGTTCTTGGATTAGGTTAGCGCTATTCAAGAGGTATTCATTTATCAATTTCTGAGTAGTTTCATGGAATTTAGCGCTGTTCAAGAGATATTTATTAGTTTCTGATTCCTTCGCGTATGAGGGTTTCAACGAGCCCAGTAGTTTTTCACCTATTAACTTCAGTGTTTTCTTTTTAAATAATTCAAACATTTTTATCTTCAAATCTGGGTTTGATAATGAAGAGCTAATTGCCAGTGAGTTCCTGCAGAGCGAGATTTGCTTCGTTTTTCTCGGACGTTTTTCAGTGTTTTCAGTTGTTTTTGCAGCGCTCCGTCTCATGGCCGTCTGTCAGTCAGCTGACTGGTTTACCGTATCGGCGGGAATAGAACAACAGAACTATGAATATTTCTTGAAATCGGTACATAATATTATTCACCGTCCAAGCGAGGTTCTATTTCGGTACGGATCGGGAGAAGAATGATTTGCTATTGCGTTACATTGCCACAGAGCACTAGATATTTATAGTGACGAGACTGAAACAGTTCCCCTTAAGTGTTTCAGCTACCAGGTCGGATTTCACCGTAATACTGAAGTCGATCCTTGGACTTTGGGTTCATGAGGTTCTTCAAGTTTTGAATAACAGTCACCCGATCGATTTTGCTCTGAACTCGGAGGGATCTAAAAGATTCGTTCTATGAAATCATCCTTCAAGAGTTGCGCAACTGGTAGATACGTAATTGAGGGAGAGGGTGGAACTGTAAGATCCGCTGAATAAAGTTGAAAGGTTAAAGGTAAGATGTCAGCGTTTCTGCTGTTAAAAAGTTTAGTTGTAGAAATGGTAAGCTACTCGATGGTTTAAAAAATGAGAAATTTGTCTCATAGCGCTTTTGTTTTCCCCTTTTCGTTTCTCTTTTTCATTTCATTAGTCGCTGTTGCACGGCAAATATTGCCTTGTAATTAATACAACACTGGGCATTAAATCAGGTCTGAATTCCATATGAACACGACTGATAACAAGTTCGAATGTCGTTGGGCGCATGGAGTTTCGTAACCCAGGTTTTGTAAAACGACTCATAAATCGTTTATGACTGGCTATAAGTCAATT